GTATGAAAACTCTGACCAGGAGAGCGGCTCACATAGGACCCGTTAGGTCCCCTGGATGGGGACCCCGAGATAACGGTCACCGATGGCTAGACACTAGGTATCGCAATCAGTGGCTCTCATTATTCTTTCAACATCAGTGTCTATATAAATTTGCTATCTTCCGTTTGAATTTACTTTCAACATTCCAATCCTTATTCTGCTGGTTTATCGGCAACCAAAACCCACGCACGAAAGTGCATGGTTAAGGGTTGTAAAAACTGAAACTAAAGCAGAACAATGATTAGAGTTACCAACCAAAGCCTTCGGTTTTCACAAGAACCTAACTGCAAGGCAGCAGGTAAAGCAAAGGATTCATTTTCTTGGATTGAGTACTCCGCCACGATTTTACCGACTGAGACGCTAACTCGAGTCGAACTCCCAACCTGGAGGACCAGGAGACCAAATATCGATACGTTCTTACTGGGTTTAGTCGATTGACAACTGTCTTCCAATGCGACAGAAGTCTCGCCCCACAGGTAGAGTCACGGATTATAAGCTAGGAATCTCAGACAAAATCCAAGCTTTTAGGTGCTATAGCCTCCAGACTGGCCACGATCTCTAGATCCACTCAACAGATCAGAAATCGTTACCTCTATCACAGGAAGTACCCCGATGAGGACGGCACCCCACCTCAAATCTAAAGTATTTTTCAACTCCACCTACTGATCACACTAACCCGCCACATCTGGGATACTGAAATTTTCCCAAAAGACTGAACGAAATCGATTGTAACCCACATTTTCAAAAAGGGCGACAAAACCATCTGCGTGAAATATAAGGGTATCATCCTCATCAACGTGACTTTCGAAGAAGTGTGTTTATAAGGCATTGGACTAATGGAAGCCACAATATACATGGATACTACAACAGAAATTTGGTGTGGGGTGGAGTATTAATACATTCACTCAGAAAGCTGGGCATTGCATGGAAAACTCTGAAGAAAGCCATAATGTTACACTGGTGGTTCAAAAAATTAGTGAAGTGGAATTATCCGCTGCATCAGGGAACAGTCGAAGACTTTCACCTGATACGCAGTACTGGAGGTCGTTGCGTACCGGTCAATGAAACCATTTAGGATAATAGAGGACGAAGCGTCTACAGTAGAGAACAAATTGATCGCTGGGCAGAGAGAGTACGAATGTAAAAATTCAACAGACCCGGTGCTAATGCGGTTATGCCAGCGATTGTAGCGGAAAATGTGAACCCAAAATAGAACTGGAATTAGGAAGTTGTGCTGAATCGCTGAGTAAATCGGGGAGTCAGTAAGGCCCGATACTGTTTTCCATCATTCTTCTCAAGCTAGGGTGACTCTCGCTGGCTCGATTAGTAGTTTATTACACAGTATTTGGTCGGAAGAGTGTATCCCTTTAACTCATAGTGAATCACTGATCGTTTCGAGCACTGAAGGACTGAATCAGATGACGAAAACATCGGATATGGTACAGTAATGAAAATGCAACGCTGCTCTCATGACTCACCGAGATAATTCTCGCACCTCGTTTTCTCGACTGATGAGAATTTCTCGCAACCGAGCCACTTCGTACGCCTGTGGACTTCCAGGTTCACATGGCACGGCAGACTCCTGACGCAGACGATTCACCTCTGCAACGAGTTCTGTAAATGTACATGAACAAGTAGAACGGAATAATCTGGACGATGGTCAAACGTTAATGACGGTATAATACGAGAAAAACATGAGTAATCGGCACAGGTATGTGTTTGCAAACCAAAAGCGTGGCACGATTTAGGAGGGTGTGTGTAGCTTATCACGTAGCATTCAAGTTGGACTAAGATGGCCCAAAGTGAGAGATTTCTTACAATCAGATGAAGTAAATCGACGGCGAATACGGAAGCTATAGAAGAAAAATGTCGCAGATCAGTTGGTAGGGTGCGTGTTAACCAGTGATGTTAAATTCATTGTCAAGTGTGGAGGAGGACAAGATTTTACCAGATCTATGAAAATGAGTTACCTAAGCTGTTTCATGCATTGAAAATGAACGAAAAAAAGATGCACACACGTAAGGTAAACTGGATAAAAGGATACTCACGTCGTATCACACGACCTTGCGGGTCTTCATTGATGACAGCTTTGTTCATGATAGATTGTGCTTTCTTCGCATATCTGAGACAAAGGCAAAAACAAAAACGGTGTTTATTTACACAGAAATGCGTTAAATTTCAAGAACTCCGCAAAAATACAACTCTCCAAAAATAACAGAAAAGCATTAAACCATTCCACAGTAAGCAGACAGATGATCCCGGTTACGATGAAGACAAAAGTTGTAGAAGGTAACCGTACGCAGGACAACATTCTATGCAAATTAGTTAAAGGGGGTGAATCCCACAAGATGAAGATCTACGGACGAAAAAAACAGTTTCTCTTAGATCAGGCCTCTGTCCCTTCCTCTGGAATCATTGGGTCGGAACATATTCAGAGGATTTTTATTATTTCAGGATACACGGTTCATTAAACATCAATCATCAACGACATCAAATCAAATTCAACGTTGAAAGCAGAGTCAAACCTTTGCTTCATAGGGACCAATTTTACATTATGTCCATTGCTAGTTGCCGTTACGTGCTGCAAAAAAAGAGATTTGAGCGTTGCTGTTGTCGACGAATTGCGTCAAAGTATCCTCTACGAATGTACAAAGTGGATTGCTCAAAAGTGATTTGGAACTGGTTGGGAAAGCCTTATTCGCCCGTTTGTAGGCATTCAACTCACACTGAGTACGCCATTCGTGATGACTAAATGGGAACAGAACCGAACCGTCCGAAAACGAGAACCACTATAACAATCAAACGACTACATTTGAAGACGAAACAAGGAGTAAGTGATAAATTACAGGTTGAATCAAATAGAAACGAGGAATAAAGATAGATACTTCACTCTTCCAAACAGACACACAACAGTACAGCCAATCCAGGCTGAATTCATCAGCATGGAAAACGAAGTGAAGAAACAATGACAACCCAGATCACAAAAAGGCTCACTTCAGCGTAGCCAATGTCTCTTCCAGATGTTGTGCGGACGGACTGATGGTGGCTAGCATTGCAGTCATGGCATTACCACCAAGACTGTCTCTGAGTAACCTGTATATCCAAAAGGAAGTAACAGAGTAATGGATGAAAATAAAAGGCAGCGAATATTCGTGAGCTTGAGTAATTAAAAAACAACCAGGTCACGATAAAGCTGCAAGCCGACAAGCGTACGAAAGAGGTTACAAAAATAAATTCAAGGGTGCATGCTGAGATTCACGCACCAGTCATCTTACTCCAAGTGGCTGAATGTCCTATACAGGGACACATGAGCATCTACCCAATTTCTGCTCAAATCAATTTCGGCTGAATGCCGTGTCGTTATCTTGGTCCTGACGTTAGCTTTTTGCTTTTGTCACTTATTACTCCAGTACTACTCAACTGATTAGAAGACAGCAACGAAAACCGAAGCACTGTTTGTATAAACTGGGTTCAACTGAATACCAGGGTGAGTTTCACGCACGATGATCAATAGAGTGTTTGACAATTTTTATTTTCCGTATGACTACACAAAATTAGCAATGCTGTATACGTTTCTTATGCCTCAAGACCAAGTTGGAATCTTTGATCCCTTTTACCGAGCTGGGAATCCGCTATGGTTAGGGAGACGAACTTTTGTGTTAATTAGTGTTCGTGTTTACATTCCTCACCCCTTTACCACTAGACTACTTATGAGTAGCATTCGGCATTTATTTCGCTTTTTGTGTATCCCAAGGCACCTATAATCATGAATCATGATGGAGTATTTAACGAGCTTTTAATGCTGCGATTACGATATGTGTATTTGTGGAGTTGCATTTCCCCATTGACAAAATTTCGTGAACGCACGTTCTACGAGTAAAATCCTGCCGCCACTGAGGATCCAAACGCAGATCCCCGCTTAATTGGCACACGCGGTACCTCTACACCACGTGCGCTTGCTAGATTCGTTTATTTTGTTATCATCTTACTGTTTCTTCTTTATTATTATTGTATGATTTTAGAACCACAATTCAAACCATTTGTCGATAAACACTACCACCTCATTGGATTTCGTTCTGCTGCAGTAGCCGTGTTCTGCCCATATCGTGCGTATACCTCTCGAGACCAAGTTACAGAGGAATTCCTAACTGCTCAGGCACGACAGTACTTCTTATGTTGAAACGTGCTACGTACATTAGTTTTGTGGAGACTTCCATGATATATAACTCATGCATTCCTCAAGGCCCAATCCAAAGGTAACAAGCTGTTGACCTACTGAAGATAATACATACAGCAACAATCAGGTTCAAAACGAGTGATAAGTCAAACTTTAACATGAATTGCTATGGTAATCGTTAGAATTATTCCGTCTCCGAAGCAAATGAAAGAAAAGAGGATTAGCAACGGATAGCCTAGTGACTGATGAAAAGACAAAGGCAACGGAGCCAGTTGATCCACACAGTGTTGATACGGCTGGCAAAGCTCCACAAGGTCCCTGATTTGCAGAAGGGTACTTAATTATCATGGTTTTAGAGTGAAAGGCAACACCTGGTAGTTGCAAAGGTCAGTCCTCGAGGGACCGGCCAGATTGTTTTCAGCTGAACAGTAGAAAAATGCGTAGAGTTCGAGGATCAATTTTCGACTAAATAGGTAGTCTATTAAGAGCAACCAAAACCGCATCAAAACTGCGCAACGTTATTGGTTGTGAAATGAAAACTGCTTATAAATCTGATTTGACCAACGCAATCGTTCGTAGAGCATTCTTCAGCTTAATCACAAAAACATTGATCGGGTAAAACAAACAAGTCATGAAATACCAGTCATTAAAACAGACATACGCATTTTGCATAACCTCAAATCGAGGTAATAGACTGATTCACAAGCTTAAGAACTTTCTGGTAAACAAAGGTTAGTGATAGGGAGAAACGGGAGTCCCCAATAGGGTAGTTATACCGGGAGTAAAACGCCGAGAAACATTCGAATAAAGTGTGATCAACCGGACAACGAATGCTAATCACATACAGATTTCTTGTTCCGCCTATCAATGCGAGAAGTGAATTAGAAAGTGTGAAATGGAGAAGGCTGTAACTATCGGTAATAGTCGCAATTTTATCGTTTAATTAGGAATACGGGCTCAGGGAAAGAAGGCGTAAATGACGTAAATAAGGAGTCTGAAGGTACACAGATTCACATTCAGCAGCGCCGGCATGAACCATGGGCAGGATATTTTAAGGCCCCCGTCGACACTAAACGTTCCAATTCTTGCTTCAACTGTGCAAATACTGCCAGTAGATATTAATCCCCATCTCAAATGGAGGTTGCCCGGGAAATCAGCTAACTGAAAAGGTATAAGGTCCTCGGCTCAGATGGGCTGTCCCTATCGGTTTTTAAGGATGCAGGGTCAATCCTGGGGTTACTGAAACTCCTGAGAACAGGGTGGGAGCGAAAAAGTTCCGAATGATCAGTGTGAATCGGTTGTGAAAACCACAGAGGAATCAGTTAAATCAAGATTGTCTCCAGCCTCTCCGCTGGGATTATACTTCGTCGATTGTCTGCCGCACGTGAAGAGTGCACAAGTGAGAACTAGGCTGTTTTAGACCTGATCAAGGTTGTTTCGACCATGCAATCACTCCTCGTCAAATATTAGTACAGCCACTCCTTCCGTAAACCCCCATCTGTGTCCTGCTCTCAATAGGGATCGAGGCCCAGTTAGAGCAGACAGCGCCTTTTCATCCGAGTTTACTACGGAAAATCTGTCGGGGTTGTTCTCTCTCTCTCTCTCCTTTTCTATTCAACCTTGTCAAATTTAATTCTTGAAACAGCCATATCCTCGTGCGAGGATAGTGGATCGATTTGCTCCCAGATGGTAGACTTTCCGATCTGGAATGTGGAAACAACACTGTACTGCAAAGTGAAGATCTAGTTTGAGTGTCAGCTACCTGGGTAGCTACATCTCACCTGGCGGATGAAGTGACAGCTTGCNGAAGGCTCGATCGGCATTTGTCAACTTGAGACATCTGTGGTGCCGTCGTGACAGCCGGCTGTCTGTGAAGGGTCCAGTATATGCTGTGGCAGTTAAGCCAGTCCTGCTTTGTGGTCCGAGGTTGGAAGCCCGTCACCGCCACCCAATTTTTGTGGTAGACAGCTTCGCTGTCATCCGGTTCAATACCACACCTAAACTATCGGGGCGTTGGTGTAGTTCGCCACTCCTAGTCTCGGGGGCTTAGATTAGCGGTTTCCATCGCTGAACAACAGGTCCTCGCGACTATGGGGCTTTCTTCGTATGTTGTTCAATAAACTGAGATGTGTTATAAAAAAGCAAACAAAAGCATTGGTGAGAGCTATGAAGTAACGTCTATGAACGACGGTTATTTAGTTGAACATTCGGGAACGTGGATTTTTTCACTCCATACGACCCATTTAGTGTTAGCACTAAGGGTAAAAACAGTATTCACATGTAAGGGTATGGCGAGACAAAGAACGTGGACAGTGATCATTTTAATCGCAACGGGCGCCTATATTTTCGTTCTCGTAAGAGTACAATAAATTCATTACCAGGAACGAAAGCAACAAAAACAGTAAAACCAAACAAATATAAGCTGAGAGGGACAAGAGCTTCTTGTCAAGCAGACAATCATGCAGTCAAACAAGCCACATAACTTACCACGTTAAAACAGAATCCCGATAAGACACATAACCGGGTTTCTTGTTAATCCAACGGTTTGGTGTGAAAAATTTAACCGGATCTTTGCATTTACTTGTTGCACGTGATTCCGAGGACGGGATCAAATCCATTTGTGGGGTGTTACTCCGAGCCAGCTGAGAAATCACCTTCCCCAGGGTAAACAGTGATTTATTTATCTGACAGCTTTCCTATATCCGGCAAGGACGTACAGAGATAGTGTTTGAGTGAGCTTATCAAATGAATCATAATTCTAACGTAACTCCCTATGAATAAACGGAAGTGGCAATATTATACACACTGGTCGAGAAACAGGCAAAAGCTACAAATCGTAGTAAAACCAAATAAAAAAATGAGAACGAACAAGTTTTTTATTACACACTTTCCTGTGACAAACTGCAGACTGGATGAACCCCATAGTCACGAGGACCTGCTGTCAGTTCAGTTCAGTTCTTACAACCATTAGCCATGCACTTTCGTGCGTGGGTTTCGGTTTCCCATTGGGTAAAACAGCAGAACGTTGATTAGAATGATGACAGCAGATTCAGACAGAGGATAGCGCAATTACATAGACTGAAGCTGCAAGAGTAATGAGTAAAAGCATGAGCGCCAATGTTTGCGACACCCAGCCATATCGCTCAGGATCTCTAACCATCGGTGACCATGATCTCGGGGTCCCTATCCAAGGAGTCTAACGGCGCCTATATGAACCAGTACCCTGCTTAGGGTTTTCATACCCTCATGCTACGTCTTAGTTCCACCACCCTTGACTTTTATCCCATCGCTACCTGCCTCGGCAAAAATCGCTCGCCATGGCAACCTATCTGGTGACATGCGTAGCACATGACCCAGCCAGGGTATTCTATGGAGGTCGACTACCTGCTCCAGCGGACGACCACGATTACCTAAAACCCTAAGCCTAACCTCAGCATTTCTCGTCCGGCTACCCCACCAGACTCGTGCAATACCTCACAGACAGCGGAGTACGAACACCGACAATCAATGTTCATCCTGTTGCCTTAATGGCCAAGTATCTGCACCGTAGAGCAGGACTGGCCGAACTGCTGCAGCATATACTGGACCCTTCACAGATAGCCGGATGCTAAGACGGCGCCACAGATGTTTCGAGTTGGCCAATGCTAACAGAGCCTTCTGTATGCGCACCGACATTTCATCTGTGATGCGTCCGCCAGGTGAGATATAGCTGCATAGGTAGCAAAGCTTGTCTATTTCCTGTACTACTCCCCCGGTCAGGATGAGGTTGGGGAATGGGCCAATCCAGCCTTAGAGCAATATTTTACACTTTGAAGGTGCAAAACTCATGCTGAACATGACTACACTAGCACTCAAACTATCCAGAAAAGCTTGCAACTTACCTGGATCTTCACTTAGTAGCACAATGTCATCTACATACTCTAGATCAGACAGTCTGTCACCCGGGAGTAAATCGATACCACTATCCTCGCACGAAGAGAGCTGTTCCAATAATTGAATATATGACAAAGTTAAATAGAAATGGAGAAAGAGGGAAACCCTGTCGAACAGCACTTTTCGTGGTGGACTTGGGTGAAAAAGTGCTCGAACTCGGCTTCGGCTATTATTGTAGAGGGATTGTAATATTGAAATAAACTTCTCGGGCACATCCTTCGGGGAAAGGCAGCGCCAGTTTAGAGCGGTCCACTGAATCAAAAGCCGTTTTCAGGTCGAGGAAGATGGAAACAGTGGGTCTGCGAAAAGTGTCTGTATTCTAGGGTTCGACGAACAGTGAAGATGCGGTCGATACAACCTCGACCAGGTCTAAAACCAGCCTGGTTCTCACTTGTGTACTCTTCACGAGCTATTCAGTGATGGAAACCGGTAACCGGGACTTGGAGTGATGAACCACATAAGGCACCGATAAGTGAGGCGTGGTATTGAACCGGACGACAGCAAAGCTGCCTACCACCAACGTCGGTTGGCGGTGGCGGGGCTCGAATCTCGGACCACAGGGTTCAAAGCACGCGTGTGACAACGACTAAACCACCACCACCTTAATACTCTCCTGGATTCCACAAAGGATATCACTCATTAGAAAAAGCTAACCATGGCCAAGGTAAGTTGTTGTGTAAGATAAATTGGGGGGTTTGGAGAACAGAGTAACTACTACGGTCAACACAGAGCAAGCAGTTTGTCCATACGTACGTCTTCAAACGTCCTGAAAGGGGTGAGAAATGATAACAAGGATAACAGGGCTGTTGGTTGGCCGTCAAAGGACATTGCAATGAACCAAAGCAAAGCTATCTGCGAACAAAGAAAAAACCTCAAAAACGGTTCTCGTCTACTTGAATAATTTAATTCTGAACAGGCGAATTCAAAAGCATGTTTGGACACCACCCATGGGATTTTACATGTGCGTTAGCCAATAAGTCGAGAGATCTCACGGGCAACTTCAAACATTAACTTCTGGTCACCAGCCGACCTTGGAGGTGTGTATACAATAGCTAGTGTGCAATCTGACTGTCACGATAAGTTAACCCTAAAATACACCGGGTCTTGATCTCGTCTAAGCTCCAGCTCCCCTAACACCCGGAATATAGTTGAAAAAGAGACGCATTAATAACTGTCAGCATTATGTCATTTGGTACACAAATCTTTATTTGTTACATAGGAGTAGTAGATTGGATTAAACATGGTTTCAACTGCAGCTCAAATGATGAATGCTGCGCTCAAGTGTCAGCTGCACTGACTGATACGTGGGGTCGAATTGCATAGAGCCGAACTGATCTGTTTACAGTGCAAAGCCCAAAAAGGTCTAACCATCGATTGAAGCCTCTTCATTTTAGGCCACAACTTACCAATCTGTAATTATCTTACCACACTGCGATAAAAATGCTGTCATTAAAAAAACATTTTTCCGAGAGAAAAAGTTGGCCAAATGCTGTGATAGTTCACGACTAACCAGGTTGGAATCACACCAGAACCAGTGAAACTCAGGAATCAATCTAGCACGAACCAAACTAGATCAGCGANCCCCCCCCCCCCCAGTGTAATCCCGATTATGCGCAATTTCTGGGTTCAACTCACATTTAATCTCTCATCCAATGGTCTGGCCGACACTTGACGCTCACTTCCAGCCAAATCAACCACATTTATCTGGCTATTGTACACGTTTTCGATCATATCCCCGAACGGATACTTCGCCTGAAAAACAAAAGAGGTATGAATCAGCGAGGTGGAACCGAAAGAAACAAGAACACATCACTTTAAGTCTGATTTAATTCCATGTTATGTTCAGAAATCGAGTCAATGATAGAGTTAGGGTGAGACATTAAGATAAGTCAAGTCAAAGTCAAAAATCGCTTTATTCAGCCTAATGGATGGATTCTCAGCTCCTTGCACATCAAGAGCATCTATCATCGCATACAATCACATAGAAAAAGTAAAATGTGGCTTAGAAGTTTGAAAATGGTATCATTTGCGTAGGAAATTCAAAATGGTTTCCTCTAACAGATGCCGTATGCCAGAAATCTCGAAAGATATGGGATAACGGACAAACGGTAGGCAGTGGTACGAGCACACACAGGTTTATGACGACACCTAGTTACAGAAGTGGATACGCATTGTTTAAGTTCTCTGTGTAATGAGTGAGTGATGTCTGATAGAATATTGTTACAGTTTTCGCAATAGGTAAAATGTGTGTCGGCGATTAAGTTAGGCAAATGCGAATAGGGAATACCGCTTGCGCGCAAAATAATTTTAATAGGCCGGCGCAGAATTGTGTAAGCTTTAACTCCGAGACCGGCAAATAAAACTGGGGAGCAGTAAAGATGAGTAACAACACAAGAATATACAAACTGGGTGAGTAAATACAGTGGGACTTTTAAAGATCGCAAGCGAGAAATAAAGAAACAATCGTCGAATATTTTTGAAAGTAGAGTATAAATGTGAAGTCCAGGTGAGATCTGGGCAGATAGTAACACCGAGGTACTTCAGAGAACGTACTGGGAGAACAAACTGGTTATCAACATAGAGTACAAAACGATTCCTTTTAAAAGAATATAGCCGTTCTCCTTTAGTTTGTGAGAATGTGACATCCCTACATTTAGGGACACTGAGAGACAACTTGGAATACGAAGACCATAACCGTAAGGCAGATAAACTGGTTTGAAGCTGTGAGAAGCGTAAATCACCTAGGAATTTGGAACCTATGGTGACATCATCAACATACTTGATAAGATCGCCTGGGTCAGTGGTTAGGTCTCGAATATAGAAAGAGAAAAGAAAAAGGGACAGAATTGCTCCCTGGAGCATACCTGAATTGGTCGGTAGCGAGTCAGAAGTTTTTAAAAAAAAAACTTCGTGAATTGTGTTGGATCAGTAAAATAGACAGGGTAGTATGGGATAATCCAGTACCGGGAGTAGAGACAAAAGCCTGCTCCTGTGGACACAATTAAAAGCATTACTATAGTCGAGGAAACATACAAAATGCTGTACCGTACATGTCTAGGGATCACAAAATTTAGTTTGCCAAATGCGCGAGGGCGTTTAGCGGAGAACGTCGTTTAGGATAAGCGAATTGACTGTGATTTAACTGTTCAGTGTTAGAAATAATGTTACTAAGCATAAACCTTTCGAAAAATATTAGTAAAACAGAAGTGTAGGCGATTGGTTGCAATTTCCCAGCTTCCTTTTTGGGGACTGGTGTAATGCACGCAGGTCTCCAACAGTTGAGAATTTTTTGTTCCTTGAAGCAACGATTGAGAATACCGGCAAGTGACTCCGTCAGATAACACGCACATTCCTTGAGGACGACTGGACATAGTCCGTCGGGATCGGAAGCTGATGATGTTTTGAGGCACATCAGCTGTGCCCGGACCTGATTAGAATTGACATGCGAAACTTCGCGATGGTCAACTTATTGGAAATATGAATTCGATACCTCAGTTTGAGTTGACGTGGAAAAAATGCAGTTGAGTACAGCTGCTGTGGGTTGAGGCTCGCGTAGTCCGACTTTTTTTACACAGAGTTTCTTCATAGCACTCCAGATTTGCTTGCAACTTCGATCACCAAGTAGGGTTTCAATGTAGAGTTTGTCAAGATTTTGGATCTCAGTCTGAATCTGCACTGATGTTTGATCAAAGCTCGGTCACGATTTTGATGTGCCTGTTCTTTGATTTCTCTGAGAATCTTCAAGGTGGGGGAAGAAAATCTGGAGGGGCTGATGTACACTGGGGCAGTAGAGGTCAAAGCAGAAGTTCAAATAGCTAGTGAGGTGTTCACACTCGACTGAAACACTTGGGTCAAAGAACTGATCAAAATTTGTACGAGACCTTTCTTCTCAGTGATGCCAAGTGGGCCGGGTCACACAGTCTATGAAAAACCTTCCGGCTACCTGTCAGTGTACCATGATGTTTCTTTGAGTAGACTTTTGGCAAAGCACATCAATAAATTTCTCTGGATAGCCGTTATCCAGTAGCGTCCTTCACAGGAAGACCTCTTCCTCTTGGACAGTGTCGGAGTAACATATATTCATGGCGCGATGGAACAGCGTTTTCACCAGGAGCGAAACTGGCAAATTGTAAGTATTGTCCACTCCATGTAGTCTTACTGTAGATGGATATGTGTAAGGTTTCATCTGATCGCCTCCTGATTTTTATATCAGATGGATCAGATGGAACCTTACAAATATCCATCTACCGTAAGACTACATGGAGTGGACAATACCTACAATTTGCCAGTTTGCAATAAAAGCAAATCTGAGGTCAATGCATTTCGTCTAACTGAAAGGCCAAATTTAAAAAGTAATAAATTGTGCCAGAGAATATTTGACAGTATGCTGCTTATATGGTGGCTGAAGGTCGGAATCAAGTAATTTGTGACG